GGTCTAATACTGAAATTTCTATATTGAGCTTGAGTTCCAACTCTTCCTTCGGCATATGCAAAAATCGAAGGGATGTTTTTTTCCAAATTCCACATGATTCTCTTAACAAAAGAAAGGGTGCAGAAGGAGCGGTTGCAGCAGGCTTGGAATCATAGTGTTAGCAAAATTAGTGAAACATCGTATCTCGCACTTTGCCTAAAGGCCCTAAACATACAAAACTATTAAACAAATACAGATTAGATAGATAGCAACCTGATACTGATGTGTTGCAGCTTTTTAAGCTGCTGCAGCAGGCTTATACACGCTGGGTAATTATTTGTCATCAGATTCAGATAAGACCCTCTTCTCTCAGGTCTCAATTCTCAACTATCATCATTTCCGTCTTATGTCTCTCTCTCATAATACACATGGAGTAATTATGTGCTATCATCATCTTAATTATGAACTTCTAGTTTCACACTTTAGTAATCAAGTTCACTTCAATTCACAGTTCACACTATAAGCTGCTATATTTCATCCTACTTCAATTCATGTATTAATTAAAAAAAAATTTGATTGTTCTGACCCAATTTTACGAATTTAGCCAAGTTTTACCACGGTGGCAGGCACCAGATTTCGCCGATATATTCTGAAAAAATGTAAGATGAAAATTGGGCACGCGGCATTGCATTTAACATTAATTTATCTTCTTTCTTTCGTCATCTATTTGTTATTTTCAAAACACCAGCGTAAGCCAAGCTTTGTTTGTTTTTGTTTTTGCTTTTGACGGAAATGGGCCGACAAGAGAACTGTGAAATTTCCAAAACCATGCTTTTTGGATATGGATCTTAAAAGATGAAAAGACAGTTGCTTTCACGGAGTAAGTAACCCTATATTCGGTGAGAAGAGTAATTATAACCCTGACTTTCTAGCTTTCAGAATCAGCAAGATTTCTATTTCAGCTCAAGAATGGCATGAAGTGACAGGCCAATCAGCCCCATCTTTATATAGCATAGTCAAAAAATCAAAATCCCAAATCCTACCCAGATCTGGTTAGCTTCCTTCTTCTATGATTGTTAACCAAAAACACGTTAGGGTTTGACAAAATCTTGAGAATGAAAGAGAGAGAAAGTTCAATCGATAATGGCGGAGTTCTAATTTGCAGACTCTGGATATTGCATGGCTCAAGAAAACCCTAATAACACCCTAAGAGAAAGTGTGCAGTCACTTCAAAGATCTTTTGGCTACCAATTTTGGAACTCAAAAGCCTCCTTCGTACATTTTATACTTGATGCTTGTGTTATACTGTAGGTTAGTGACGGTATATATATGCTAAAAATAAAAACAAAGAGAATTATTATTTTATTGAATAGAAATTACTAATGGATAAGTCATAAGTCTTTCACATTTCTTTTCTTTGAAGTGGAGAACTATCTTGTAGTGAACTGCATTGCATTACTCAGCCGTGAATGATGGTTTGGACATCATCGACTTGCGTTTGCCGCGAGAAAAGAAAAAGAGTAAATAGACTCATCTCCATTTATTATGCTCAATTTAATTTTCGTAGCTTACAGATTCTTTGATTGTTGTTAGCCGTTGGCCTGGCCTCTCACGTCTCTAATAATAGATATACTAATTCGACATAGACTTTTCGCTGTGTTGTTTAACTTTTTAAACATAGAAATTTGTGTGTGAACTCTTATTATTTAATTAAATTAACATGAGCATCTACAAATATAAGAACTTATGATAGCTAACTACCATTTGATTATCTGACAGTGAACGATCAAATTGAGATTCTATAAATTTTAAAGTTAGAATCTCCCAAACCCTAATAGGGTTGATCATTGGGATTTTTATCCGATTGACAATTCCAAAGCCTCGAGAGATTAGTTGAGAAGGTGGCCATTGAGGCTCTTACCAAGTCACCAGTTCTAAAATCTTGAAAGATTAGTTAAAATGCATACAAGTTGACCCAAACACTTCCGGTGATCAAAAAAAGAAAAGAATTTGTAGTAACTTATCTTAATCGAACTATATAATATATATCTATTTACAATACTGTTTATAAATTTAAGTAACTCATGTTATAGAATAAAGATAGGTTGATAAATACTTTTCACAACTTTCTCTCACAAACATTGATGTGGTTGTTTGTAATTGGTCAGTTCGTATTCAATCAAGTGAGACCCATTGCGAGCTGACTAATTATGAACTGACACGTCGCGTTTGTAAGAAAAAGTTAATGAAAAGAGTTTGTGAGTGTAATATTATGACATAGACCTTAAAACCTTGCGTAAGAGTTTAATTTTGTTGTTGGGACGTAACGGACATTTCATCTGAAAACGTGTTGTTAATAATCAAAAACTCATTGAAAGATACTAATTAGTAATTGAATTGAGGGTAACATTAAATTCATACTACAGCATTACCTGATTTACAATTTTTATTTACTAACCCTCATTTGAACGAATCTGCCATGGCATTTGACTGCGCGAGAGATTTCAATTATCAAAAGTGAAATCTATCATTCAAGAACGTATATAGTTAAATTCTTAATTAAATATATAGAGAAAAGGTAAAGCAACGGATAATTTCTAAATCAAGAAACTACAATGAATAATTTCTAAGTGCAAATCAGATTTGCATTCTCACCTCTGGTATAACTGTATAAGTAAACATTACTATCCGTGCCAGTGACATATCAGGTGTTCAAATTAATGCAGGAATGTTACTGCATTTGTTCTTTGTTTTTTTTTTTTTTTTTCTCTCTCTCTCTCTCTCGTAAAGATGATAAGAGAAACCGTTTCACAGAGAAAGTTCAATCTGGCATGCTCTCAGAAAGGCAAGTATTATTGATTAGCCGATGCGTTACCTTCAAATTTAAAATTTATTGAAAAGAATTTGTCGGAAGATGAGAAAATAACAGTGAATATGATTGTATCTGGAAGTACGTGGTAATAAATAAAGAAAATTGAGAATAAGAAGCTGAAGCAAATTATATTTTTATATTTCTATGTTGTAATTAATGGATTAAAAGTTAAAATGATGAGGACAATAAATTCTTAGGAGACCGCACATTAAAAAAATATATTTTCGACATTAATAGTATACGGATAAAATCACACAGAGGTATTATATTTATATGTTTTGGTATAATTCTTTTACATCTAGGAGAAATTTATTATAGATTATGATCACAATATATAAAATTACACAACACTATCAAATTCGATATATAATTAAAATAATAATAGTTTTCAATTAGGCTCAACCTAATACAGTACTAAAGCAAAAACAATCATAATTTTTAAGATACTCTACTGATGGTTTGTAGTATATATGCGGGAGACATTCACATTCTACTCCTATTAGAATTTAAATTTAAATTTCTAATTAGACTACCATAATTCTATTCATATTTAGAATTATATTATTTATTAAATAGTTTTCACACGAGAATAAATAGAAATGCGAGTCACAATATCCTAACAATCTCCAATTTGACAAGTTTTCCATTACCGACATTCAAGTTGCAGAGTAGCCATATCGAATTTTGCCAACCAATATCACTCCACCTACAACTTGAACCCTCTGTAGCCAATCTCTTTTGTGTATTTATCATTTCAAAAGAACTTATCTTCCAAGTTGTAACTTATAACTCCGATACCACTTGGCAGAAGATTGCGTAACGAAAAACATACTTTTAAGATTAACAACATATTAATAAAATTATAACATTAAAAAAAAAAAAAAACACCATATTCAGGTGGTTCGGCCTAACTCACTTATATATACGGATGAGATAAATTTATTTTAGTTTGATAAACATGATATATAAAAATACACAATACTATCAACTTAGTAGATAATTAATGGAGCAAAAATAATACAAATTTTTAACTATACTCGACTCAACACTTTAAAGAAATCATATTTTTTAACAACTATTATATCAAATATCTTATATCATGATATTCTCTCACAAGTGATAACTCATCAGTCGTGACCTTATTGATAGCATACGAGATATTATATTTCTAATAATAGAATTTATAACTCTATTCTCATTTATAATTCTATTCTTTATTAAATAATTTTTATAAAACTTATATGTCAATAAAAAATAATATTATGTTTACTAACAGATTTTACTAATTAATATATTAAACTTTGTTAAAATCAGACATAGTACTTATATTATATACATAATATCTGTACTATATTTTAAATTAGTACATCGATTTATAAAATCCATCAGTACCGTAGCATTACCCGCCAATAAATGAATAAAAGTCCCGGAGAAGACCGGGAGAGCAAGGCTCATCTCAACTCCGTGTCAGTCATTCTCTATCTCTTGTCAGCCGCCAAGGCTGGCTTTGCTTTGTCCTTTAATGGACGGTGCATTTAATGTAAAGATTGTTTTAGTAATCCCCAATTCTAGTTTTCATCATTATTCTGATTTTATTTCCAGAAAAGTAAAAGCTTCTCATCAAATCTGTTGCTTATCTCAAAGTGAATCTCCATCCTCAGCCCCACTGCCGATTCATATTTCTAGGGTGATTAATAAAATATTATACTATTAAATTTAACACAAATACAAGTATGAAGTAGAAAGTAAATATCTATTTAATTACATAATTCCTATGTATTACTAACACTTACAATGTTAATTTCACAAACTGAACGCATTTGTTGTTTTAGTTGATTAATTTCCTTAGCAACACCCCAATTTTCATAATTCTTCGTTTTCAGCATACTTACTTTCTAAGTGTATGTTAATTTGTTCTCTCTCTAATACTATTATACGCACTGTATCTCATACACACAAAACGTCAGTGTTTTAGCCCAGGCTTTCTTCTGTCCTTCTGCTTCTGTGCAAGCACTGCATATATACAGGTGTTTTCTTTATCTTACAGGTAGTTTTCACAGATTTTTTTCACTTCCTCAGACTCAGAGTAGGACATCGTCTATTTAAACTTCTTCTCTATTTCCACTCAAACATGTGCCAAATACCAGCAATGGCTACTCCCCCACAATCGACAAACCCTAAACCACTGAACCCACTTGCACCTCCCTTCGAACCGCCAAAAATACCTGAAACTCAACCCAACTTGCTTCCAAATTTCTTCGTCTTACCCAATGAGACCTTTCAACAGCCCCTGCAGACTCCGGTAGAACAAGCGATGACGCGTCGGTTTCTACACCTTCCTGTGGTGACTTATCATCCTACACCAGTTTGGTCATCTTATCATTATAAAGTTGAGAGTTATGATGCATACTCGTTTCTGCAACGCGACTTTACACCGTATTTCATGACTGGTGTAGACGAAAATGTTAGGTGTAAAACGGGGCCGCCGGAGGTGAATGTTTCTGCAAACGAATATGGTTTTCTGGAGTGTAACGAGAACAGAAACACTGCTCGAATAAAAAAAAGGTTCATCTCCCGATGGTGGAGGGGACCAAAAAAGGGTACTTCGAGGAAGTGGGCACCTAAGCTTGGTCTGAGGAGTGATGATTGTGATCTACATAGTGTTCGATCTCCACCGAGTGACCACGATTTGCGGCTTGGTGGGAAAACGTCTTTGATGATAAAAAACATTCCTAACCAGTTTCAGTGGGTTCTGTTTTTCTCTTTTTATCATGTTTTATTTGTTGAGCTTATATATTTTTTGTTTCTGTTCCCAGTGTGTTTGTCTTTAGCTTTTGATGTGGACATTCCTCTGCTTCCATACGGGCCGAAAATTTTCTTCTTTATATTTTATCTTTTATGGTTTTAGATTCAGCAATTCCTTTGTGTGATTGTTTGGTCTGAACCTTTGCATTACATTACTAGCCACGGTGAGGACTTTGTTGGGGCTCAGATTTAGGTTCGAACTTCGAACCTGCTTAGTGTTTTGCAAAGCCTGGCTGTGATGATCACTGTTCTCCTTTTTGGGAAATGACTCATCCTCCGTACAATAGCTTTAACCAGTGGCATGAATTAGGTCTTGAAGACATGAACACGCTTATTATTTTATTTCTGGGTTTTTCATCTGCATAAACTCGTTACATTTTGTGTAGTATGTGTTGATATTCTCATGGTCTTATTTGATTACCTTGTTGTGGTCGATGTGAGTAGGAGGCATGACTTGCTGCGGATATTGGACCTGCATTGCCGGGAAGAAAATTCGCAGGCTAAGTTGCGTTCAGACCCATGTAGGTCCGAGTACGATTTCGTTTATTTACCAATGGATTTCGGGTAAAACCTTCTCAACTTCTCTTTTATAATTTTTTCTTAAATATTGAGGTTAATCAATATCTTCGTTTCGAATGCTTTGTTTCTTGTAATTTTACTTGGATCTTTTTGTATCTCTGAATTGTGAAATAATTTCAATGTTGTTTTCACTCGGGTTCAGGTTTCGCGCCAATCTCGGATATGCTTTCGTCAATTTTACGACTCCTGTTGCTGCAGTAAGGTTCTCTACAGCCTTCCACCAACATGAATGGCTGGGTCAGGTTCCTGGTGTTTCAAGGAAGAAAATATGTGAAATAACCTGTGCTTTCATCCAGGTGGCCATATATTTCTTATCATTACTTTGAAGATTTTGGCATACCTTTGAACCTTTTAGATTATTATTTAACTGATGGTTATTTCAAAATGGATTCTTCGTGATGCAGGGGAAAGGAGCTTTGAAGAATCATTTCGAGCGCTCCAAGTTCCCGTGTCACACCAATGGTTACTTGCCTGTTGTCCTGTCACCTCCACGTGACGGTTCAAATCGTAGCAGGCCAACCCTTGTTGGGAGGCGTACAGGTGTTGCAGCACCGCCACCTGTCAATCGTAGAAATTTTTTGTTAAGGATGGCGAAAAAAGAACGTTCTGATTAACTAAATGTTTATCTTGGCTTTTTGTTTCCTCTTGCCTTTACTAGCAAACTCAAACTACATAGTTGTGTTGTCTTGGATGTTGGAGCTGGTTGTGTTTTATCCATTGTCAGATAGATTTGCTATGTTTAGGTTTAGGTCGGAATAGTTGTGCTTAGTGTGTTTGTATTTTTAACTTAATGGCTCATGTTTTCATTGTCTCCCCGGATAAGTTTTGGTGATTAGCGGAAATGGAATCTGGGGTGAAGTGGAAACATTGGTTAAGTTTACCACTGTAATTAATTGAAGTACTGTGTTTTATCGTCTGTACTATAAGTGTTAAAGGATTGATGGGAATTTTTAGTAATAGTTTTAATGTGTCGTAACTTTCCGTATGGTTTTATTTGCTATGATCACATGAATGAACTTCGATGGAGTGAATTTTCAAGCTTTTCCATGAAGTGTTTTGTGAGTATACAAATATTGAACCGAAAATGAAAAAAAGATAGTTAACTGTACATCTATACTCTATAAATAAAGAGTCGTTATGTAATATACGTGCTAGTTTAATAGTTTAAGATTATATCAAATAGAAATGATTGCATTTACAGCTACAGGGAACAATTTCATACCCATCGCAGAGTGTTATATTCTTTACCAGCAGTTACTAAATCAGCTTAAAGATTTACGCTTTTGATTGTCTCGGTTAAGATTATTCAGGCATTTCAGCTGTGTGGAGATTTAATTCTTGTATAGCTGTTTGCTGATTCCTGTCTATTTTGTAAGGCCTCGAATTAATCATCCTGAATTATAAAAGGTTAAGAGAAGATGAATATTGTTCAAAGTAGAAAATTATGCATAATTAATTTTAATTTTCAAAAGTGTCCACGATTTTACGTTTGAGAAAATAATAACTGTTACGTGGAGCGAGGAGTACATTGGTGGAATTGTCGGTGTTACCAGCATGTATGTATGCGTTTGGTTTAATATTTTTATTCCTATTCTGGATCCTATTTTTCAAATAGCGTTTGGTACAATATTCTCAAAATATTACCCTATTTTTTTAATTATATTTTAACCCCATAAGGTTATTAATTTCACTAAATACCCCCTAAAAAAAAAGTTTAAAAATTAACAAAAACACCCCCATCAACCCAACTTGTCAGATTCCGGCAACCACCGTCGGTGATAGCCGGAATCTGTACAACGGCCAAACTTTCGACCAGCAATGGCCGAAAGTTCACCGCTGTGGCCTTTTCCGGCCAGATCCACCACGGATCTGGCCGGAAAAGGCCAGATCTGGCCGTCAGCGACGGCCAAATCTTGGCCGTCGTTGACCGAAAACGACGGCCAAAGATGTCCGTCGTTTGGCCTTTTCCGGCGGTCGACGGCCAAAACAAACCGTAGATCTGGCCTTTTCCGGCCAGTTCCACCATGGATCTAGCCGGAAAAGGCCATAACGACGTGTTACGGCACAGATCCGACAAGTCTGTGCCGTAACGAAATTTTCCGGCCAGATTCCGGCGGTGGTGGCCGGAATCTGACAGTGCAGGTGGTGGGGGTGTTTTTGTCATTTTACATGTTAGGGTCTTTAGTTAAATTAGTAAACCTAAGGGCTTTTTTATAAATTTTTAAAATTTACCTCGTAATACTCCCATATCCAATAACCCAATACTACCCCTAAAATCCTATCCAAAATACTAAACCAAACGCACCCGTAATTGTTTAAAATTCAAATGCTTATAAGCTCAAATTATCTTATAAGCACTAGGTACTTATAAGCTAATTTTCATAAGCTCAGCCAAACAAGCTCTCAATGGGTCCCAGTATTAGTTTAAGTGTGCGCAAGTTGGCCCAAACACCCTAGTCATAAAAAAAAGAATGTATTTTACAAATTTTAAGTGTTTGATTTATAAGTTTTATATTATGAGTTGGTAAACTTCACCTTGACGTATTATTAGGGCAATATACTATAACAAAATTCGTTTATCGTATGTTAAATTTATTTGGTTAACCATGTTAGTTTGAATAAGAAGAATAAAGTGTTTGTCTTTTATTTTATTTTATTTTTTGTTAAAAAAAAAAAAGACAAAAACTTTCCCTCTGTTTGTTTAACTTTTCAAATCTCTATTCTATTATCTTATCATATTGTGAATAGTAAAAAACATATTTGTTTTAATATTGACGAAATTCAATTCAAAATCCAATCATATTCTATTCAACTCAAAATATACAATTACATTTCACAATAAAAGTTTATAAATTAAAAAAAACACCGCCCACCCACCCAAGTCACTATTGTCCGCCAGCAACCACCGCCGACCACTAGTCATTGCTATTGTCATCGCTAACCACCGGCGTCGAAACGACTCACGATCGGTCGGATATGGTCGTTGACTCCAGATCTGGTCAGATTTTGCTGCTACGACGACCATTTCTTGGTCGTCGTTGATGGCAAGATTTTGGCTCAAAATGACAACCAAAAATATGGTTGTAAACGACGACTAGGATATGGTCATCGTCAACGACCAGATCCAAATTTTGCCTGTTAACAACGACCAAATTCTGGTTGTAGATCTGGTTAGAAAATGCCAAATCAATGCAAGACCGGCCAGATCCTGCTAGTCGTGCTCTATTCCAGTGGTTGCCAGCCACCGTTCGACAGTGGTGGCCGACAATCAGTTGGTGGGTGGGGTGTTTTTGTTAACTTATAAATTTTTATTGTGTGGGGGGTGTTTTGCTAAATTAAAAAATATGGGAAGTTAAAAAATAATATTTTAAGAAAATGTTTTCTAAAAATGTATCAAACACATTCTTAGAATCATATCCTATTTCATTTAATCATATCATATGCTATTTAGAATAATTTTTCTAAATATCATATTTCAAATAATATACCAAATAGACTATTCTTCTTATTCAAACTAACATTTTGACTTGGTTTAATGTTTGTTTTCAATCTTCTCACAGGCGTGGTCTCTATTAGTGGTTTAACTTTGTTGATGCTTGATTTTGATACCAACTACTCGCACGTGTAAAATGCTAAAATGACTTAGAAGTCACACGTGATGAGGGCATTGAATCAAATAAAAGGTGAAGAGCAATATTTAAAGTAGTTCGAATGCTCTAAAGCGAATCCTACGTCTACTAATATTGTATTAATAAGAGAGTGTGATTAAGTCGCGTTCAGCAAGCTGAGTTATAGTTTAGAGAGAGAGAGAGAGAGATCTATTTAAGCGTAAAATCAACTAACCCCTTCAAATGAGAGGGAAGTCCTCTCTTTATAGTGAGAAAGTTCAAGGTAATGATTATGAAAGCTGCAAGTGGGTAGGTGTCGTGCAAATCCTTTCTTTGCATCCCATTGATCACCTACCCAAGGGATTTCTTCGATTAAAGCAAGCTTTGACACGTGGGCGATCTCCAGTTGCTTGCTGGTTTGGCACTCACCTGCTGCACTGACAGGAGCCATGCCACTTGCGCTAGGCGCGATGTGGCCGCACCTGGACGGTGCAGAACCCTTATGAACTCTAACCATCCTTCACTGACGAGGCTCCACGTCAGTCCTACTTTTTCCGGCATAACAGAAGTCCCCCAGTTTTTAAGGATTAAGAATCGAACCTTGAGAACTTCATAATTATGCTATGATTTGACATAACCAAATGATGCCTGGTCGAGCCGACCTGGCTACAGGAGGTCGCATAACATTTTTCTACGAGCGACCTGAGATGGTATTCTTTCGCGAAGTCGACGACCTGGATTAGACCCTACTCAATGCCGTATTGATGCACCTTTTATCTTAGCTGAGGTCTGCGACCTGTTTACACTTGGCATATTTTTGTTAGAGGCAAGGAATCACATCGCTTTGCAACCGACATGCGACGAAGAGTGTTCTTTTCCAATGACCTCTTCAAATGTTATCTGTTGCGCTTGACAGCTAATCCATTAATGAAGTATCCTTTATTCTGACAAACGTGTCCTATGCGTAATAAGTGCCAGCCATACGCATTAAATGCAAGACATGCTGAAACGACATTCCTTATCAGGGCATTAAATGCGGATGAGAGGGTATTTAATGTGGAGGAGAGAATCGAGTCGTCACTCGATTATTTCAACAGAGAGACACGACGATCGAATTTCTAGAAGCGTGGCGGTTACTCCTTCTCGATTGATGACACGTGATCGCGATCAATGACAAGAGACGCATTCCACTTAAACCTCGCTTGGCTTTGGGAAGACCAATCGTCGTTTTCTCCACTATAAAACCCTAGGCTCACCTTAAGCAATGTCACAACACTCATACTTTCAGAAAAAGCAAAAAGCACTCGCGAGACCAGATTTTCAATCCTTCAAGTTGGTGCGCACTTTTCATTAACAATAAGAAGTTTGACCCCCACAGCCAAAAAGGTAAGGAAGATACTTCCATTGCTTTCCTTTTTCTGTTTCGTGGACAACTTAACCAGGCGATAATGGTGGGTGTTTATGGCTAGACTTTTGTAAGGAATAGGTTTTCAGGATACGAACCGTTGGGGGTGGTCCCCAAAGGTTTTTTAGAATTTTTGGAAAATACATTAGGGTTTTGTTCTTCCACGTCATCGTACAAAATTTTGTAGGGAGACTGAGTAATCTGTACGTGTTCCCCTTTTTCAGACCTTAGAAGAGATGGACCCTACAGTGACCAGAACAAATGAGAGGACGAGCTTGCAAGCACAAGACGCCCCAGTGGGTCCTGTGCAAGAGATTCTATCAGTGGCTACCAGAGAGGAAATACAGAAGGCAATAGACTAATACGCACTTAGCGTAGACGTTTACCGGTACAGGTTGCATACAGTTCGAAATCCGCCAGGGGGAATGGTTGCGATGGTTGAAGCTATATTCAAATGTGGAGCACTAATTCCCTTCCATCCCTTTATTAGGTAAATCCTCGATCACTTCAGGATCGCACCTTTACAACTGACGTCTAGCTCAGTATGATAGCCATGGTTATGTATATCGCATGCGCCGAGTATGGCCTTGGCTAGCTGACT